AAAAAAAAAAAAAAAAAAGATTTCACAGACTTTTTTGTTTTAAAGATTTATTTAATTTAAAACATTTATATTATTATTATTTTAAATTTGCTATAGGGCATGCACTTTCACCAGAGAAAGAGAGAGAGAGAGAAAGTGAGAAAGCAAGTGACCAAGTGCAGGACTTGAACTGCAGTTGGCCATGTGGGGGTCCAGAACCTCAACCAACATGCCACCTGCTGACCCAAGATTTGATAGACATTTTTTTCTTTTTAGGTTTTTGGTGTTGGTGATGTGTGTGTAAGAGAGAGACAGACAGTGAGAGAGAAAATAAGGAATCACCCCTCTAGGGGGATGGCTACGCCTCAATCCCTTCCCCTTCGTTCTCCTGAGATCTTGGGTATGCATGCACACGTTCCCAGGTCCAGGGCTCAAATCATGATTGGCCATGTGAGAGCCCAGTGATGTAACTGCTGTGCCACCTGCTGGCTCCTTGATAGACTCTTAAGGAAAAAGAAACACATAAAATATGCGAAAGCACCCACATGGGGAATGGTCACATCACAATCCCTTCTCCTCCATTTCTCCCTCCTTTTGAGATTTTGGGCCCTCATGTACACGTGCGTGCCTTGACTGGTTTTTTTTTAGAATTATTGTATTTAGCTTTATTTATTTATTTATTTATTTATTTTATTTTATTTTGACCAGACAGGGGCAGAATGAGAGAGAAGGAAAGTGAGAAAGCAAGTCTCTAGGTTCAATTCTCAAACCACGATCGGCCATGAGTGGAGTCCCGCATCCCTAATCACCATGCCAATTGCTGGTTCCGAGAAACTGACCATTTCTTAAGCTAAGTGCAGATGCAATTTTTGTTTGGGAATGGAAGGTTAAAGTAGATGACTTCTGAGGCCCCATTCAGAATGTTTTGAAACTAAGGCCCAAAGAGATGAAGGAAATTTCCCAAGGCCTGAGAACTGGCTGTGTGAGAGGGAGAGCCTCAGTGGAATCTAGTTTGCTGGCCCCCTTGACTCTTCTCATACTTCAAGGTATTTCAAAGTCAAAACAATGATACTTTTGGGTAGTACACTCTAAAGAAACAACAAACCTGCCAATCACTGACTTAAGGATTATCTTTAAATTTCCAATGTGGTGAGTCACATAGTAAAATAACATTGGTATACTAAGATTTCATATCAGGAACTAATTAGAAGGGAAAGCAAATCACTCCCATGAACTTTGTAATTTCCTGTGAATCTTTTGACAAATGTAAACTTGAATGCTGACCTGCTTTGAATGCAAATGTTCTCATGACCGTGAGCACTTTTCGTGGCCAAAACACAGCTCCTCCCTCCTACTTAAAATAAAGGCTTTAGTTCTAGGGTCATTTAAAATCCATTATCTAAGCAACTAGTCATTGAACAGACTTCAGCGGTGTTGCAGAAGAATTTGTTTACAACTGGACAATTAATTATTCACATAGAGTAAGTTTGGAACTGCAATTTGGAGGATGAAGTTTGGAAGTGAGGTAACTCGTTTTGAATATTTGTTTCACTTTACCTTTTCTTAATGGGTCTGTGACTTTTTTTTGGGGGGGGAGGGTAGCAAAAGTTGTTTGTTTTAGATGAAAACAATTTGCGGGAAAACTCTTATTTATTTATTTATTTTTTGCATGAAACTAATGGGTTCTGGCTCATCTGCTTTAATTCTTATGGCTTTTTTTTCTTTTATTAGCCTTTATTTCCTATAAAAATTATACCTCTTTTAAAGAAACCTGGTTGTTTGGAGATGGTAAAGATAGTTGCATTGTAGAGTGAAATAATTCTCTGAAGTTATGTTCTGTGATTTTTTTTTTCTCTGTAAATGAGAATCTTCCACTTTGCAGCAACTTTCCTCTGTTAAGCTCAGAGATCGTAAAGTTCATCTAAAAGGATTTCATTTATTTTTATATAAGGTCTTATTTATCAGGCTGTCGGAAAAGTCATGACGCCCTTTGCATAGAAAAACAAAGAATAACATCATGACTTTTCCGACAACTCAGCAGTGGCTTGAACATGCATAGCCTCGATATGCAGCATTTTATTTATGCATAGAGTATGATTACATATGCAGCAGGGTTATTAAAGTGAAAATTCCAATAGTCACTGCTTTTGCTCTGAAATGAACCAGCATTTTACACCTGATGCTTCCTTTTGTCTGAAAGAAAACATAGATAACGCTTAGATGTGGCCATTGCTTTTACTATCTGCGTTCACTTGGCATGTTTCC